GCAGTTTTAAATGCCTATCTATTAATTCTTGAAGAAACTCGAAAGTTTAATTTTCAGAGTAATAGTTACTTTTTTCAAAGCCCTACCTTTACATAGTCATTTGTAATAGGCCCGTGTTCACACAAAAACCAATACTGTATGTTATGTAAATAATTATCTTATTATAAAGCAAATGCAGATTAATAATTATATGGGCTCCCTTTGTAAAACACAGAGATCAATTACAGTTTGAAATTAAAACTCAGACATGATCTTATCTGAAAATCCAGGTCAATGCTAACTACATCTTCTTGATTATGATCTCCTTTTGTCAGCTACATTGACACTGACTTAATTGCAAACCTATGTTAGTAGCATTGACACTTTTCTTCACTGCAGTCCCAGGTTAATAGAACTTAATAGAACTCTGCTTATATCCAGTTTAACAACATTTTCTCTTTTTATTGCAAATCCAAGTTGAGACTAATCACACCTCTTTATTACAAGTCATGCTAATGGTATCTGTGTTGTGTTTTATTACTGACAGTGATAATAGAACTGATATAATCCTTACTTCAAATCCAAGTAAATGGTATTGCTCTCCTTCAGTTGCAAATCCAGGTTATATAACACAGGCTCACTCTAATTGCAAATACCAAAGTCATTATGTTAATTTGCTCCTAATAGAAATTATTTACATTTTATTTTATGCCTCATCAAAAGCAAGTTGGACAAAATGTACTTTCATTATTTGTACATTTCCTCTTCTTTAATACTTCAGTGTGCCCTACAGCTAGTTACTGTCATTTAGTTCTCAGTGGATAGATTATATTTCACCATCTGCTCTACCTAGCATTTAAATATGCAGCATTAAGAAAGGTAATGTCAGAAAAGGGTCATTCTTGGCACTTTTTTTTGCCCTTTATTTCAAAGGTTCAAGTATCAACAAAGTTAAGGGATCTTTCTGAATATTTTGGAGCATATTCCCACTTTGGCATACTTCTTATTAATGGTATTTTATACATAATTAGAACCTGAAGATCATGGAATGATTCCCTTTGACTTCAGTGAGCTTTTGACCAGGCCTGTAAGAAATAGTACTGTTTTATTTAAACATGGGATAAACAATGTTCAGATAAACCTCTGGGTATTTCCTCTCATTTGTTTTGAAATGCACTGCCTTTTAAAGTACCCGAGATTTGGAAAATAAATCACTACTTTTTAGAATTCCAGACAAGGAAAGAAGAATCAGGCTTTCCCCTCATTTTATTTCATTCTAATAGGTATAACAATGTATAGATAATCTTCACAATAGATCTTAGAGGCTTTTTCAGGTTTCGTGTGCACGTGTGCTTCAGTATTGGACTTGAAAGTTTGTCATTACGTAAGAGGGATCTTAAAAGGAAGAGGGAAAAAAATTAGCTGCAGTTTGTGCTGATAAAAGTATACAATGAGTATGTCCCAGAGAGACTTCTAATGGAAAGAGTTCACCTGGCATAAAGCAGAGATTTTATATATAACACTATCTCATGTAACCAGAGTGCTGCCTCATAAACTAATTCAGTTAAATGTTTTCCCAGAAGCACCTACAGCACTTTTGAAGTTAAACATAATAGCATATCTTGGTCTAATAATATTTGAAAAAAAAGATAATACCGGAATGCAATTCCCATTAAACAAAAACCCAGTCATACCTCTTTGCTTTCAAGGTAGAAATAGTGCTTTTGATCTGCATGTGCATATTTGACTTTACCATAGTGCAAAATGTGATCCTTGTCTGTTCTAAACTCAGTTCCTTTTTACAACTAGACTGAGCCCTGAGTTCAACCCAGAGGAAGGGAAGACATGTCACTGCCACCCTCAGAGGAGCAGTTAGGATAGTGGACTGCCTGTGACCATTCCATATTCATCTCTGGAAAGATGGAGCCCACTAAATACGTCAGATTCACTTAGCCAACACAGACCCTGGTCATGTCAGAATACTTGCCTCGTGGCAGCACAGCATTCTCATAACTAGAGTTGGTTGATAATTTTCCAATCAGATTTTCAAAGGAAAATGACAATTAATTGATACTGAAGTGCTTTCTGAAAATGTTTCAGTTTTGATAGACATCAAAAGAAACATGGGCAGGTTTCCAACAGAACCCTCTTTGATTTTCTGCCAGCTCCATGAAAGGGCTATTGAGAAACCTGAGCTAACAGGCTCTGCAGCTCTGGGACAACCCCAGTATGTGAGACAACCCCAGATCTGGGAACCACAGGGCTTCCAAGCTCCTTGTTGCAAGATGAGGAGCTTAGCAGTCTTAGCCCAAGGTTTTCTGGCTCCTGGACAGCCCTGCCATGCAACCTAGCCTTGATGATCAGGTACCAATGGTCCATGGATCTGGGATAACTACAGAATAAGGAACTCAAAGGCTTCCAGGGTTTGTGGTTCCAGAGCATCCCCGTCAGCTTCCCTTAGAGTCAAGTAGCCTGGGGAACCAACTGAGCCTTGGGTTAGGAGGCCTTGGGATGCTCTATGTCTGTGTAGCTAAAGCCCTGGCAGCTGCTGGCTGAAACTGATACGACTGTGTCAATTTCACTGCTCCCCACCATTCAGAACCAAAACCAAAATCTAGTTTCTTGCAAAGCATTTTACAGTGAAAAGCACTTGAAGTGTGAGTTTTGACAAAAACAAAAATCTTGCATTTCCAAAACACTGATAAAATCAGTAGTAATATGCGATCGGTTTCACTTTTCCTATCTTAACTAGAAGTTATATGTTGAGAGCCAATGAGGAAATGAGACCAAGATGTATTCTACAGTATTTTTTTCAGCTAACTAGAACCCACTCAGATCTAGTCTGCAAAAGAATAATGAAAACCTGCTTTTCTCATAAGATTAGGGAATATTCTCAAATCCCTTTATTAAAAAGCAGAGTAAGTGATGATTGCTGACCTATTTGCTGACCGAACAGGACATACTGGAAACAGTATACAAATGTTTTTAATCTAAAGCTTGGCCTGACTTTATATAGACATTTAGCAAAGGAGGCTGTATTCGTAACAGATGCACATTCATTGTTTAGTGGTGTTTTGAATCAGCTCAGTTTTCTACAAGACTAATAATATTTGACAAATGAAAGTGAAACACATTTTACATGTCCAAATGTGTAACCATTCCTCGCTCTGAGCCTGCTCTCTTCACTTTCTCTTTCCTGCCCTTATCTCCTACAAAATCAGCCTTTTTTATACAAAAGTATTGAATTGGATGATTTCCCTCATTTGTCATCCATGGAGATTGCTCAGCTCTTTGGAGAATAAAATCCCTGCCAAAACATTTGCATGGGAACAGAAGTTGCCAGTAGTTGGCTGCTGTGCTCCATTTCCATATGCTGGCTAAAATATTTTCTGTCATCTCATTGTCATTACAGTGTTACCCTAGAATTTAGCGGGGGTCCTGGCTAGCTCAATACTATTTTTGTAGTCTCCTCTTTTCTTAGAGAAGTCTGCCAGAGATTATGATTTCTCAGATCCAGTCTGTTTATTCTTCCTAAAGACCCATGTCATTTTTCAAACAGAGTAAACCTAATCAACTCATAGTGAAAATTGTCAGTGCGTGATCCACCAGTGGGACACTTAGGATCCTACTTCCCACCCTCCTGCCCCCATATGAGAGAGTAAATTCAAAGAACATAATTTTACCTTCCATTTGTGACAGTTGCTTACTGCCAAGCTATGTTGTTTGTGTTTACTTAACTGTAGGGGACTGTTAAAGAACTGAGGTAGGGTTTCACTTAAAAGGCAGACACAACCCACAGACAGCACAGCACTGAACGGCACTTTTAAAAGTACTGTAATGAATACATGTAGAAGGCAAGGCATATTACAGCATGTTGAGTTGGACATGTGGTACTTTGGTAGGCCACAATCCACCCTGTTACCCCTCTGGCCAGCACAAGTGCATGAATGCCATGTTTAAGAATATTTATAACCAGGCTTTTCTCTTCTTTTTGAATCATGCACCCTGAAGTCAGATTGTTTAACATCTTCATCGTTATGATCAGTTGCAGCCTTCTTGTCAAGTCTTCTCCCAGACTTGCATCACTCATGATTGCAGAGCCAAGATACTGAAATCTTTTAACTACATTTAACACTTCTCCTCTTAACATGCCTGCACAGTCGATGCCTACATGGTCAGATGGGTCGCCAATTGGCTGGAGGGCTGTACTCAGAGAGTGGTGGTGGGTCATTTTTGACCTGGAGGGATGTGGGCAGTGGGGTCCCTGAGGGCTCGGTCCTCGAGCCCACACTGTTCAACATTTTCATCAGCGACTTGGATGAGGGGGTGGAAAACACCTTGTTCAAATTCGCAGATGACACTAAGATGTGGGGAGAAGTGGGCATGCTAGAAGGGAGGGACAGGCTGCAATTGAATCTGGACAGATTACAGGGGTGGGCAGATGAGAATAAGATGGGATTCAGTACTGACAA